CTGCATTTGAGAGTTCTCTGCTGAGCCCTCACAGCCACCGAGCTCTGCTCCCACAGCTTCACCAAGTATGGCCACCCCTAAGGTTAATGGTGGCACCTCTCACCGGGCTGGGTTTGTATCTGGCTTCTGCACTTACCGAGCTGGAAGTTCACCAACAGAAATCCTGCAATTCCTCATCTCACATTGGTGCATTCCCTCCTTTCTGCCTCTCTACCGACCCAAGCAAAGGCAAGTCTTCAAGGAGAGAGACAAAGATTTAGGTGGATTCCTAGAAGGGGTTTATATGAACAAAGGAAACCTGAGATGTAGCTCGTGGCTGCAAGAGAAAGGTAATAGAGGTGATCTTGGTGCAGACCGCAAAAGCGTGTGACCAACTGAAGAGAGGGGATGGACAGGCTGAAGGTAGAGGAAGGGCAGCACCTGAGACTCGGGTGAGTAGGGATGGTGCAGAGACATTCTCTGCTCAGCTGAAGTGCCACCTGTCCTTCCCTCTCCCATCTACATCCCTCTGCCGTTCCCTCTCCTCCCATCAACATCCATCCATCCATCCATCCATCCTTCCCTCTCCCATCTACATCCCTCTGCCGTTCCCTCTCCTCCCATCAATATCCATCCATCCATCCATCCATCCATCCTTCCCTCTCCCATCTACATCCCTCTGCCGTTCCCTCTCCTCCCATCAATATCCATCCATCCATCCATCCATCCATCCATCCATCCATCCTTCCCTCTCCCATCTACATCCCTCTGCCGTTCCCTCTCTTCCCATCAACATCCATCCATCCATCCTTCCCTCTCCCATTTCCATCCCTCTGCTGTTCCCTCTCCTCCCATCTCCATCCACCCCACCGTTCCCTCTCCCATCTCCATCCCTCTGCTGTTCCCTCTCCTCCCATCTCCATCCACCCCACCGTTCCCTCTCCCATCTCCATCCCTCTGCTGTTCCCTCTCCTCCCATCTCCATCCACCCCACCGTTCCCTCTCCCATCTCCATCCCTCTGCTGTTCCCTCTCCTCCCATCTCCATCCACCCCACCGTTCCCTCTCCCATCTCCATCCCTCTGCTGTTCCCTCTCCTCCCATCTCCATCCACCCCACCGTTCCCTCTCCCATCTCCATCCCTCTGCTGTTCCCTCTCCTTCCATCTCCATCCACCCCACCGTTCCCTCTCCCACCTTGACCTTGTGGTGGTTCCAGGTCCTGGCATCCCTGGGGCCATGGGCTGGGTTTCCACCACGCTTACCCGTACATGGTCCCTGCAGGTCCCAGCAGCACTGCCAGTGGAGTGCCTCAGAGGTCTTGCTCAGGTTCGGTGTGTACAGCACGTGGCTGACATCTACTCAGTGAATTTCGATTGGAGACTATTAAAGTTTGGAAAGGTTTAAAGTTGATGGGAATAAATCTAGGTCTGGAAAATTGCTTAGACCTGCCCCATTCAATCTATACTGAGCGTATGGAAAGGAGGTTTGGCTTGGTCTCCAGAGTTCTGCAGGACAGAAGATCCCATAGGGAAGAATCACGAGTCTGGACACAGAGACGTAAGAAGATTCAAGGCTGTTGGTAGTTAAATTAAGGTAGGAATAGAAGCTGATTATTTGTAACTGGCAACGAGCAGTGGGACCAGCTTGCTGAAAGCAGTAAAAAAACAGATGAAGAACTACTCAATATTTAATTATGTTAGTAAAAAAGAAAAAAACACCACACCACAAAACCCAAACCCAACCAACAAACACAATAAAGGAGAAAGAACTCGTTTGGGGGCGAAGGGGAACGGGAGGGGACATGCACTTAAAATGATGCCTCTGTTTTTAGTTATCTGACTAACATAGTCCCTCTGGATTATTTGGCCAGATGAAGCCATCTCAGAGCCACTGCCACGATCTTTGAAAGCTGTGGAATGGAGAAGGTTCCAGAACACTGGAAAAATAGAAAAACATCCCTAAATTGAAAGAGAGGAGGGAAAGAGAAAGCAGACGCATGAGCTGGGCAGTTATGGAACAGTCGGTCTAATTTCAATTCCTGGAAAAATATATTGGAACAAATGACCTATTTTTAGGAGATAATAGGTTGATAAGTAACAGCCCCAGCCCCATCAGGAGCAGATTGCATCAAACTGATCTCTCCTACTGTGACAGGTTTAACAGGCTCAGGGATGGGGAGAGGAGGATATAATTTAACCCGAGGGAGTATCTGGCACTCCTCACGGGCGACCTGCACAAGGAACAAACTTTGTCCAAAGTGATGGAGAAGATGACCCACGCTCAAAGAAATTGGTAATATCACCCTGAAAGGTGGTCTAAAATCAGTTTCTGTGGGCACGGACATCATCCCACCACACAGATACGCAGTTATAAATACACACACATGTAATTTGGAATTGCAGGCTGGGGGGAAAGAGGGGGCTAGCACTTCAGAGGTCAAGGACAGCATTCAGAACAACGTGGGCAGGCAGACTTGTCAGGAGCAGATTGCATCAAACTGATCTCTCCTACTGTGACAGGTTTAACAGGCTCAGGGATGGGGAGAGGAGGATATAATTTAACCCGAGGGAGTATCTGGCACTCCTCACGGGCGACCTGCACAAGGAACAAACTTTGTCCAAAGTGATGGAGAAGATGACCCACGCTCAAAGAAATTGGTAATATCACCCTGAAAGGTGGTCTAAAATCAGTTTCTGTGGGCACGGACATCATCCCACCACACAGATACGCAGTTATAAATACACACACATGTAATTTGGAATTGCAGGCTGGGGGGAAAGAGGGGGCTAGCACTTCAGAGGTCAAGGACAGCATTCAGAACAACGTGGGCAGGTTAGGAAAATGGTCTAAAATAATGAGAAAACAACTAAAGGTTAATATTTATGCTCTTTAAGGAGCAGTTCAGCACCCAGACGCGGGAGTAGCCGCCACTGGCCAGCAGTCCTGCGGACAGCATTCGGAACAACGTGGGTAGGTTAGGAAAATGGTCTAAAATAATGAGAAAGGAAGGAAGGGCCCTGGGGTCGGAGTGATCACAAACCCAACATTGTGAGTCAACACTGCCCTGCTCTTGTGAAAAGAGCAAACATCCCGGGGTGTATAAACAGAGGAGCTGTAAGATACATCAAACAAACCCTCCGCTCTGCTTCGTGCATGTTAAAGCCTCTAACGGGATGCTCTATCCCTCTCAGGAGCCATCTCCAAGGTGACACCTGGAGACAAAACCACTGGAACATAGTTTTTGGGCAGCTGGTGGAACCCCCATCGTTACCCAGCTTCTTACGGGCACCTAAATACCTACCAGGAACGGGTCAGTATAACTAACATTTCCTTATGGATGGATTAGATATCCAAAACTCTCTTCAAGCCTTAATTTCCCCAGGTTTACGTTACTTAGAAGATCTGTGTGACCATGAATGAATTTCTTACGCCCTGACTCCAGCCCGTGTTGTTTAGCTCGGTAAGAAAACCTCCCCAGGACTTTGACGTGTTTGTATCAGCTGAAGGTGACTATTTTTAGCTGTAACAGTCACATCTGAATGGAAATCCACAAATATTTCAACCACCAATCACATATCTTGTGGTATAAATTCCATCTTCCCCACTAGATAGTCAAGGACGTTTTACTGAAGAGCAAAAAGCTGGCCTACAACAGCGAAGGAAACGGAACAGTCGGTCCTGGACTCTAACCCAGGAAGAGTCAGGCTAACGAGGGGAGATGGGAGAGGAAATTTAGGGCCAGGACCTGCTCCTGCCAGTGCCTGGGGCAGGGTGTGTTGGAGCTGTGAGAACAGCCCGGATTCCTGGCGCGATGCTGTCAAGAGCCCGTTCAGTGCTGGTTTCTTATCAAAATCCAGCGCTGGAAAACATGTTTGGTTTCTGCAGCAGTTTCTGAATAACAACGGGTGGAATGTGAAATGAAAACCCCGCGCACGTGAGCTTCCCACGGGCAGGGGTGGTGGGAGCAGTGTGGGGGAGATCAGCCCAAACACCCAAACCCTGCCCCCCTGGCCCCGACACCCACCCGTCCGAAACAGCAGCGGTGGCTCACGGCACGGGCAATGGCATTTTGGAGGTTAAAAGTCTGTGGGGCAGGTGGTGCAAGGCAGACTTCGGCCCCGTTACACCGGGGAAGGGTGCTGAGTCAGCTCTTTGCACCCAGGCCAAATCTCAGCCCTGCCATCCCCTCCGGCACGGGGGGAGCACACACCAGGGGGACACCAACTCTGAAAGAGTGATGCTGGAGCTCCGAGATGTGGCTCTCTCACAGAATAAAAGTAAAACATGTTAAAAAAAACCCACCCGGCAGTGTGGGTTGGAAAAAGATTGCAGAGTGACACGTGTGTGAGTGTCCTCTGCTGCCTGGAATGGGAACTCTCCTGCTCTCACAGAGTCCGGGAGCAGCAAGCGAAGGGCTGGGGGAAGCAGGAGGACCTGGGGGAAGCAGGAGGACCTGGGGGAAGCAGGAGGACCTGGAAGGTCTGTCTGAGTTACAGGCAGTCTCCGTGTCACCCTCTCTGCAACCCCTGAGACACACAGGACAAAGCACACCCTGAGTTTTTGATTCCGTGTGCTGTTTTCAGTCCAGCACAGAGGGTGTTAAAGCAGAAAACTGAATTCTGTGTGCACACCATGTACAGGTGCAAGCGTGGTGACAGGAAAACATGCCAGAGCTCACACCAGCAGTGACCCCCCATTCTTCCTCCACAGCTAAATGGGGCTCCCCCCCATTTCCAAGGCAGGGGAGCGTGTGTCTGAGTGGGTGAAATAGCAGCTGTAAGGAAATACTGCTTTTTAGAGAGTAAATCTCAGCTCCTCCTCTAAATGTAGCTCCGTGGAGTCATTACAGAGCTCGTGCAGAGTTGCTATTTATGGGCAATGGTTCGTACTCCCCTCACAGGCACCACGGTCCCGTGTGCTCCCCCCAAAGCTGGGGGGTCAGTCACAGCACCCAGCAGCACTCACACCCCCCTCCGAGCCACCGAAACAGAAACTCTTGCTCACTTGTTTTTGCTTTTCCTTTTTCTTCTGGGATATTCTCTGGAAACAGCCTCCGCTGGCAACCACTCGGAGTAAGGACCTTCCTACGGATTGGTAACTGATGGGGGTGAGACAAACTGTAACACAGAAAATGTGAAAGGAAAAAGAAAGCCTATTCCCAAATAAGTTTTTAATTCATTCTCTTCAGTTTCCACCTGAGCTCAGCAAGTTGAAAGGCGTTGCTCCACGTCCAAGCTGACCCTGTGCTGCTGTGAACACCTGCCAGAAGAACTGCTTTTCTCCTCCATCCACCCAGATTTCCTGCACTGGGTCTAGAGATTGTGTGGTTGAACGGGAGTGAGAGCAGGGAAGGGGTCATCCACAGCAAAGCTGCTGGCTTTTTTTTGCCTGTTTTTTATTTATTTATTGATTTTATTTTCTATTCAATCATCCAGTTGACCAAATGAACTCCACTGGCCACACCATCCCCAGACTCAGCCCACAGGAAATGAGGGATATATTTAGGGGGCAATGCTCAGGTACATCAGATCAGCTCCAAAGGGAAATCGTGCTCTGACAGAGTCTCTGGATGGAGCTCTGTGGCCGTTAGAGCCGGGGCTGAGCCAGGCTGTGGCACACACTGCACACACAACCCATTTCACGCTCAAACCTCGTGAAAATACACTTACCTCTTGCACAAAGATCCCGAGCGTTTTTCCACAGCAAGTCTGCTTCTCCGCTGGTGAGTCTGAAGTACTCGCTACTAAGCAGAGAAGGCAATGGTAATACATACAAAATAAGAATTGTAATTTATAGCTTCACAAGTTTACACCAATATGACACTGCTTTTCCCTGTGTGTGTGTAAACGAGTAAGCTCAGACCATCTTAGCGTGACCCTAATCCTGTGGCACTCTCTGTAGTCTCTAAATTCTGAGTTCTGAGCCGGGAATTGCACGTGTGGTTTGTTTCTGTGGTTGTTTGGTTTTTCTCTTTTCCTTTTCTTACCATACACACGTCCTGCTCAGGGGGCTGGCACCTAAAGGTGCCATCTCAAAGCCACAAGCAGCAGCAGACGATGCCCAGATACACCCAGTGATTAATGGCAATAGGCAACAATTGCATCAGGTATTGTACACTTTCTACTCAATTAATTCAACACGTTGAATAAGCAACAACTGCCGAAGAGCCCAAACTAATCCAGAGTTTAAGTATCATTGGATTTTGCTTGAAGGCTTGCCAGAGTTTAAGTATCATTGGATTTTGCTTGGAGGTTTGGGTTTGTTGTTTTTTTTTTTAAAAAAAGTTATCCACAACCACTTTCTCATGGCGTACCTGACAGAAGCCACACCAGGTTTTTAGCATTTCAAATTGCTGAGACACGTACCCTTAAAGCAGTGGTTGACAGTAACACTCTATCAATCACCTATATATTCTGAAGTAACTTTTTAAAAACGTATCAACCAAACATGCTTTCCATTTCAACTTTCCAAACCACTCCATTCTCACATATTTTCTCTCCCCCAGACCCTACACGTTTTGATCTGCAGTGATTGCCTGAAGCACAGCCACAGTGTGTGTGGGGGAAATCACTGCAAAAGAGACAGAACAGTGACTTTTACAGGACCCGCTACCTCAGGGCTTCTGTTCGGTGCAGGATGAAACCAAAACTATGATGACAATCTGTGCCACGGCTTTTTAAGTGCAGAAAGCACAGATTAATTCAGACTGAAAGAGAAACCATGTGAAAAGCCCAAACCTGTGTTTTGCTGTGTGGATCATCAGAGATACCCAGCAAAATGCACCGAGCATCACCCTCAGCTTACCTTCAGGGAAGCACAGGATGGTGAGAGGAGGTTCCATCCATCCATCCAGCTGCTCTCCACACAACACAAACTGCTGCTCCCGGCCAGCCGGCAGCCCAACTGGTTTCCAGGGGTCATTAAGGCAAACTGTGGTAATTAAGCATTATTAACGATTCTGCTGTTCTTAGGACGTGCTTGGTCAATCTCAGCCCCGGAGTACCCATGAGGGTTGAAAAAAAGGATCTGTCATCACGGCACTTGCAAGTGTCAGCTCTCAGTTACCTTCCAACCAGCACGTGCCAGAGGTCTTGGGACAGATTTGAAATTCCCAGGGGATGGATCGTGGAGCAGGTCTCACATCGCCGCAGCTGGAGACACAAGCAAAACGTTTATCAGTATAATCACATTTTTTCTGCTTAATTTGAGGCATATGTCTATAGCTCCTACTGCAGTGCTACATGTGTGGAGAACGTGAACAGAAACTGCAGAGTTAAAAACCTATGTCTATAGCTCCTACTGCAGTGCTACATTTGTGGAGAACATAACAGAAACTGCAGAGTTAAAACCAAAGCAAACAGGGTTAGCACACACACACACACACACACACAAACAACACCCATCCTGAGCCCTTGCCCGTGGGAGAGGAGAAGGCAGGAGCAGGGAAGGCAGCTCTGCCCACCAGGAACTCCCTGCTGGCACTGGAGGTGAGGAGAAATGCAGATACCACCATTAAACCAGCCCCAGGTGCAGTGATTTGAAGGTTTTCACCTCCAGATCTCAGTGGAATGAAGCGGCAGGAGGCTCGGTCACCAGAAATAAGGAAAAATTAACTCGAAGGAGCTAATCACTTGGCTGTAGCCAGAAGTCATAGACCTCACTGGAACCCGACAGACAATGCACCCACGTTGGGAATCACCCCCAGCACCACCACCTGAGGACACGGCTCACAAACCTCGGGCTTTTCATTCCCTCCATCTCAGGCAGGACAGCTCAATCCAGCCTTCCTCTCCCTGCCTCTCCTCACAGTGTTACACTTTGGTTGTTGACTTTGGTTGTAAAAGTGAAACAGCTGCAGCGTGTGGATGTTACATGAAACACCTCGTTATTAGGAGGGGCCAAATGATGGACTCACATACAATGGAAAAAATAAGAGGCTGGGTCCTGTTTTCTTTTTTCCCCAAATTCTAAGAAGACTTACACTGTACTGGAAATCAGTTATATGGTCACCAATTTGTCACCTAACTGAAGAACTAGACTTGCATCATGCTGATACGTTTCACAAATCCGTCATTTTTAACTCAGCTGACATAAAACACGAAGCTGGTGTTACACAGACATCACCAACCAATACTTTTCTGCCGATTTAAGGTCATTTTTCCCCCCCGAAGGAGCCGAGTGGGTCTCCTCAGACTCAGAACTCCCTTTCTGGGGATGCCACTGAGGGTTAGGCAGGGACCAGCCTGGAGCCATCTCCACTGAAAGCAAAGACCCCGGGACACAATTACATTTGGGGGCAGCGACTGCAAACCTCCCCCCCCCGCGGGGACAGAGGGGCCTCCAAGGACACTTTGGGGCACAACCAGCCTGTTTGGGAGGGTTCGGGACACTTCTCTGGGAGTAGTTCTCAGCTCAAAGGCAGGAGCAGGAAAGGCAATACCTAAAAAGTGAAAAAGAAAGAAAGAAAAAAAATAAAAAGTGGGAAGTGGCAGTAACTGTTGTCTGAGCTGAGTGACTGGGGGATCCCGGGGTTTCTGAGGGGGGGGTGGCTGTTGTCAGGAGGGGAGGGTGATGGTGGGAGAGGGGGGTGCTGGTTACTGGGGGCACCAGCTGGCAGGAGAGGGGGTGCCAGCTGTCAGAGGAGGGGGTGGTGGTTTCGGGAGAGGGGGTCTGGGCTGTTGGTGGGAGAAGGGGGTGCTGGCTGGCTGTTGGGTGCTGGCTATGGGAGAAATGGGGTGCTGGCTGTTGGTGGGAGAGGAGGGTGCTCAGTGTTGGGATGGGGGGGTGCTGGCTGTCGGGAGGGGGGGTTCAGGCTGTTGGGACAGAGGGGTGCTGGTCTCGAGGGGGTGCTGCCTATGGAAGAGGGGGTGCCAGCTGCTGTCAGGAAAAGGGGGCTGCAAGGAGAGGGGGGTGCTGGCTGTCCAGAGAGGGGGGGCAGCTGCTGTTGGGAGAGGATGGTGCTAGGAGAGGGGGTGCCCACTGTTGGGACAGGGGGTGCAGGCTGTGGCCAGCCCTGGCTCTCTCTGGCCGCAGAAGCACCAGCTCAGCACTGGCCCCGGCTGCTCCAAATCCCTGCTTTTGTGTTCCCCCCCCCCGGGCAGGGATGGCTCTCCCCACAGCAGCCTCCTTGCCCGCCCGGTGAGACAAAGAGACACCCAGCCCCATGGTTATTCCTCCTGACTCAGCTGAACAGCCTGGGAGCAGCAGGAGCCCTGCTCACCACCCGCCCCCCAGCCCCGCTGGGCTTTCCCATCGCCTGCTGCGACTCGGGAGAACCAAAACGGGCACAGAGGAAGGGGAAACCTGTGGATCTATTTTATTTTTTCCGCCCGTAGGAAGACAATCTGCCTTTGCAGCAGCGTGTTTGTGCCGGCTGCACCTTCTCTGAGCAGTGAAACTTTCATCCGGGCTCCAGAGCCACACTCTCACTGCCGAGCTTCCGCAGGGCAGCAGCAGACAGATGGATTTAGTTTGGAATTTTGTTTTGGTCTGTTGCTTTTTTTTTTTTTTCCCTTTTCTTTTTTTTTTTTTCCACATTGGCTCCTCGGTTGGAAGTGAAGCCAGCTGCTTTATCATTCAATCCCAGCCATTCTGACTGGTCGCTCATGTTCTGCCCACTTGTTAAAGGCAGTTGGTATTTCAGGGGTCAGAAGTGGGCACCCCGTTAGGAGGGGAGCTGGGGAGCAGGAATCACCCCTTGTGATTTCAGCCTGTTCTCTGACGGATTGGAGAAGGCTGCTGGGGACTGACTCCCACAGCCTTCTTCAGGAAGAGGGGACAGTCCGAACCCCAAGAGCACAGCAGCCTGTGCAAAGCTCTAGGTGTCTATTACATCTAAGCTCCAGTGAGCACATTTTGCACGCACTTTGACTGGGGTAGTCAGAGCCCCAGCTGCTGCCCAGCTCTGGAGACAGTTCTGCCCACGTACAACTATTTTTTCAATCACAGAATCACAGAATCTTCTAGGTTGGAAGGGACCTCAAAGATCATCTTGTCCAACCGTCAACCTGACTGACAAAAATAGACACCCACACAACAAACAAGGAGCATCATCACTAAACCAGACCTCCCAGCCTTTTTTTTTTTTTCCACATTGGCTCCTCGGTTGGAAGTGAAGCCAGCTGCTTTATCATTCAATCCCAGCCATTCTGACTGGTCGCTCATGTTCTGCCCACTTGTTAAAGGCAGTTGGTATTTCAGGGGTCAGAAGTGGGCACCCCGTTAGGAGGGGAGCTGGGGAGCAGGAATCACCCCTTGTGATTTCAGCCTGTTCTCTGACGGATTGGAGAAGGCTGCTGGGGACTGACTCCCACAGCCTTCTTCAGGAAGAGGGGACAGTCCGAACCCCAAGAGCACAGCAGCCTGTGCAAAGCTCTAGGTGTCTATTACATCTAAGCTCCAGTGAGCACATTTTGCACGCACTTTGACTGGGGTAGTCAGAGCCCCAGCTGCTGCCCAGCTCTGGAGACAGTTCTGCCCACGTACAACTATTTTTTCAATCACAGAATCACAGAATCTTCTAGGTTGGAAGGGACCTCAAAGATCATCTTGTCCAACCGTCAACCTGACTGACAAAAATAGACACCCACACAACAAACAAGGAGCATCATCACTAAACCAGACCTCCCAGCACTACATCAACCCGTCTTTTGAACACCTCCAGGGATGGTGCCTCAACCACCTCCCTGGGCAGCCCATTCCAATGCCTGAGAACCCTTTCGGTGAAAAAATTTTTCCTAATATCCAGCCTGAACCTCCCCTGGCGTAACTTGAGGTCATTTCCTCTGGTCCTGTCTCCTGTGACTTGAGAGAAGAGACCAACCCCCACCTCTCTACACCCTCCTTTCAGGGAGTTGGAGAGAGCAATAAGGTCTCCCCTCAGCCTCCTCTTCTCCAGGCTGAATAACCCCAGCTCCCTCAGCCTCTCCTCATAAGACTTATTCTCCAGACCCCTCACCATCTTTGTTGCCCTTCTCTGGACCTGCTCCAGCACCTCCATGTCTTTTTTGTGGTAGGGAGCCCAAAACTGGACACAGTACTTGAGGTGGGGACTTTTACATGAAGGGTGCTGGCTGCACACAGCCCTTTGATACATCTAAGCTCCAGTGAGCACATTTTGCACACACTTTGACTGGGGTAGTCAGAGCCTTAGCTGCTGCCCAGCTCTGGGGACACTTCTGCCCACCTACAACTATTTTTTACCTGAAAGGTGCTGGCTGCACACAGCCCTTTGACACACAGCTGCTGGGTGCTCCTGTTTTCCTCCTCAATCTTTCCTAGCTCCACAACCATCACACAGCCCTTGTTCTCAGCTCCTCAGCTGAGATGAGAGAGCACTGGCAAAGCGGGCTGGTCGCACAAAAACCTACTCGTTTTCTCTTAAAACAGGGAGTAAATGCTGATTATTTAAAGTGCTCCCGCCCCGTCTGTGCCCGCAGGAGGAAGGAGGCTGATTTCCAGCCTCACTGCAGGAACCGAGCCTGCTTTCCCCCTGGGGGGAGAGCTGAGGCTGTACCAGAGGAACGTGGGGTCTGTCCCTGGTGACAGACCCTTCCCCAGCTCCCAGGCCACGTGTCCCCTGTGCAGAGCTGGCCTCCTCCCGCCGCAGCACACGGCTTCAGCAGATGCTCAGCTCTCCCTGGCTGCTTCAAATCCCGCTGGCACCAACACAGCTCTGCTGAGAGATGTTAAATTACCACCACAGCCCCCCTGGGGATATTCCTCCCCAGCCCGAGCCCTCTCTGTCGCTGTGTGTCTCTCCTATCTGCCAGTTTTCTCCACCTCCGAAAGCAGGCGGAGATGCTGAGCAATTCTACCAGCCGCCTATTAACAATTCAAATATCTTGATTTCTCGTTCTCCTCACACAAGGGCTTTTAAGCTTAAGCAGAAGCTATTTTCATAGCGGGAAATATTAACATAAGTAACTGCTTTAAAAGTAGATTCCGAAATATGCACATCTCTAAATCTGAAAGAAAAAAGACAAGGACTGCACTAATTAAAAAAAAATACGAAATTAAGCTTTTTGATAACCATTCCAAATGAATTTATAGTTCAACTTACAGCTGAACCAGTTATCCAGTTGGGGATACTTCCAGAAACCCTTCGACTTCAGCTTGAGACCTTCAATCAGGGCCTTGCTTTCCATCCTACCTGCGCAGAGCAACACACTATTACTTTCTTCCCACTGGAGAGCAAAAATCACCCTCCCCTTAAAGTTATTATGTCCTGTCCCAGCTGACCAGAACCACACGAAAGCATCATAAGTCAGTCAAGTCGAACCCAAATTTCTCTTAGTGACACTTGTCACTTAGTGACAGTACATTCATACAGTTTAGTTTTGAGATCATTCAGAAGACGGACATTTTTCAGTGTTATTAAAGGAAGTGCCCTCCTTTTTTTCTCTTGCCCCCGCCCCTTCATTCAAAGGGTGGCTGAAGTGGTTTTGCTTAAAAAATATCATTAGAGCTACTCACTGCTCAGTGGGATCCACGGAATCAGGTCTCGAACTGAGCTGTAAGATATAGTCCATTGCAGTTCCCGTTAAAGAGGCCACAGCACTCAGTATCTTTGCATTGTCACACTGGAACAAAAATTACCTGGGATTTTTAGAATGTTGTGCTTTCCCTCAATCACTTACAAATCATCCCTTGTCGCAGGACTCTTGCTCAATTTCCTGTTTGTGAATCCAGGGAGAGAATTTTTTCCCCCACTTGAGCAGTGACTGTTTAAACTTGTAGATGCAGAAGGCACTTGTCACTTCTTGCTCTCCATGAAGCCCAGATGGTCAGGGAAGGAGGAGTGGGAGAAAGATGACTGTTGTTTTGGTTTTTTTTACCCTTTTCCCTGTTTGCCCACCACCACCACCTCAATGAAAACCAAATAAACCTTCTGGCTCGTGAGATGAGTCAGAAATAGCAGATGAGTCACTTACTGCTAGAACGCTTCAGCGCAGAGGTAGTCACAGAAACATCAACAAAAGCATCTTTTCCATCAACATGAAAACATGACAATATCCAAGTCTGGCTGAGCTAAACTTATTAAGCATCTACACTGAAATTTAATTTAGGAAAAGACCAGAAGAAAGGGTATGTTCCTTTCCTGTGCTGGAGCAGCCATACTCTAGGCTACAAAAAAAGACTTGAAGAAATTCCTTTCATGACATTTCCTCCCAAGAACAGTTCATGGAGGGCTGTTACCACCCTTCCCTCAGCCCTGCTCCACAGCAAATCACTGCCCTTTAAAGGGAGGGGAAGGCAAACAGAGTTTTGGCTTAATGAGCCACACTTTCTCTGCACTGCTGTGCCCTGGGCAACTCCCAGGCCCCCTCGGGCAGCGTGTTGAAATCCCAGACGGGTTGTGTTGCAACAAGAGCAAAGTCACCACCGTTCTAAAGGTGCACTGCTTTCACTTGAAAATGCACATCAGCACCTAAACCTTCTGTTTTAATGACTCCACTCCCTGAGTTTTCATGTTTTGTATCTGCTCCAGGCCTGAACTCTGCCAATGTGCACCCTGCTGGGAAGCAAAGATCAGTTCAGTGTTTCAGGAGGTTACACAAATAAGGAAAATAATATGTTGTCTGCTTTCAGATAAATCAGAACCGATTTTCTTTTCAGTAACTTTACTTTTCAGGTAAGTTTCCTTGACCTGACTGCACTCTCTGAAATTAGGGGCATATTTTTCAGACAGTGTCTACTTCTAGTGGTGAGGTCTGATGTTCACAGTTACACCAAGGGACAATGTGCAGAGAGGCTCCTGCTTACACCAAAACCAACCCAAACCGTGACAAACTCCTTCAGGACAGCGCTGCTTCACTGACAGGGCCAAACAGTTCACATCTCACGTGGCAATAACTTTTCTCAAAGTAATACAATTTTCACTGGATTATGTTATGACTCTTTTGAGAAGCACATCAGCCAGACGTGTCTTGGAGCTTCTCAGAAATTGCCAAGTGTTAAGTCAGATCAATGCTTTTACACACAAAAACCTGATTTCTATGTCAAGGATTTGAATCAACTAGATGTATTTCTGTTTAAAACATATGAGCAACCCCCATTACGGCAGCTTTGTGAAGGGGAGGAAGCAGGGAGGTTGATTTAATTGCAAGGGTGCCCAGTTTCTCGCTCAAGGTAGCAGTTTTTATCCCCTGGCATGCCTCTGTGTGTTCCCCCTACCCGTTTGCAACTGGGATTTAAATAACTGCTGCTGTCTTCTTGCACCTCTTTTTCTGGATGAATCTTACAAAATGCTAATGGTGAACACCCGAAAGCACAAGAGGAGAAACTGGCAAAAAAGTCATTGCAAAGACAAGCCAGGAACAGAGATACATCACAGGAATAATTCAACTGGTGGGAAATGAACTAAGATGACCCTTTCCCACAGCAACTACAGGCATTACCAGTTACAGAAGGACACCCAGATGGGCAAGCACAAGCAGGGGTGTCTACACGGTATCAAGGGTTATTTCAGCCTTTACTAGTTTAGCATTAAAAAAGCCTATGTAAATGAACTCCTATTTTTGGGCATCAAATACTTCAGCACTTTTCAGACCTTGGCCGAATACCCCGTCACCTGCTGTAGGATATTAGAGTTTTTCCATCCCTGTTACTCATGTTGGTAGCACTTTGCTCTAAATGGTCCAAAAAATGATTTAAGCAGAACTGTGTCAGAAGGTGACGATGAGGAGAAGGCACTGAACAATACCTGGCCACATGCTCACAAAGCAGCAGTTCAACTGCTCAGAAACGGGTCAAACCTGGTTTTGGACCGACTTCCCCCATCCCGGGCTGGCATCCTCTGCAGAGGGCTCCTGGTGGAAGGGAGAGCACAGCTGCTTCCTCTGGCACACCTGGTAAGAAAATGCAGCAGAAAAAATAACAGTCACAAGCGTTGCTTTCATAAAAACAGTCACCACAATTTTGCAACTCACCAAATCTGCCCAATTTTTGCCAAAACCCTGTCCCAGAGGTGAACTGATACGAGAGGTGACCAAAGCCCTCGTTACTCCTGAAAATACAGGACACGAGAAACGTTTCTGAGCAGAGGAACTGACTGCCAGAGCTGTGCAGGCAGGAACAGGGGGACGTGACAGAAACAGGACCATCAGCAGCAGAAAATATTCTTGTGGCTTTTTCCTACACGTTTTCCTTTGTGTGAGCATGATGCAAAAGGTAAAAGCTAAGGTTTTTTTTGTTTCCTTGTTTATTTGTTAAGAGGCTCGCTGAATCAAGAGCAAGAACCCGGTTTTGATACTTTTAAAAACAAAGTTGGAAACGGTTATGTACTAGTAAGTTAATTGTGGCCTGTTGTCTAGAAATAACATAAGGATTTACAGCAATACTTTCAGTCCCACTTTCCAAGCTCACTTAAAAGTTATTAAGTATCCAAACTGGGTATTAATGGGGTATTAGATGAGGAGAAAACAAAATCTAGTAACCTACCCAAAAATGTCTAGACTTCTTAGCTGCTGATGTGCCTAAAACTGATTCCATTTTAACTGAACCCAGTTCAGGCTCATTTCAGTGACACCAGGAATGTCTACACGGGGAGGGGTCCCTGCCCAGGGCAGGGGGTTGGGACTCCATGATCTTTAAGGTCCCTTCCAACCCCAACCATCCTATGATTCCATACATTCACTTCTACTGCAGGTGCTCCCTTAAGTATCTATTTTTTAATTTTGATATTCAACGGAACTGTTTTCAAGGAAAAAGACTAAAAGCCTGGGAAGCTGAAGTTTCCAACTTGAGAGCAGGCAAAACAGCAGCCCCGTCCATGTTGTCCTGCTCACAGTCTCTAGAAAAGCCAAAGCAGAAATTAATTTAATCTATATACAGAAACTTTTAAATTTTTTTTAGCCTTCTTTTTCCCTCTTTTGTAATCAACGCTACTGAAAGAGTACAAATTTCTGTAACCACAAAGTGAAATTATTCCTTTTAATACAGTGCTGGTTGGAAGATAATACTCACCTGTAAAGATAGACAAGAAACTTCCGAAGCAGGAAATTTTCCAGAAACACATTATCCATCCCTTAGTGCAGCCCCCAGCCTGGCTCAGCACACTGAGTGGTGTTCTGACCTCAGAAAGACAGTCCTTTTCAACAACAGATGCAGGTGTGAATATTCATCCCATTTATTGTGGAAACACTGACGGTACAACACAGCTTTAACAGACTCCCGCTGAACAACTACTCATTTCATCTGAGCTTCACAGGGTTTATTGTGGAAATGCTGCAGAGACAAACACAGATTCAAACACGGTCCCACCCTCCGAGAAGGTGACGCTTCAAGGAAGGTCAAACCAAAGCTACGAAGTGGCAGCAGATGCCATTTCCCAGAAATGAAGGAGGGCTCCACTGGAGCAGTGGTACAACTGGGCTTCCCTTTGGGATGGGTGGCAGACGGAAAGCCCAGAGCCCGGTGATTTTTCGTTTTCATCCAATTGCTCCAATCCAGGAATCTTTGGCACAAGAGTTTTCCTTTGCTTTATGACTACAGGCTCATTTGTCCCTCCCGAGGCTGCTGTCCCATAGACTTCATTAACGCTACTGGGTGGCACGGTGACATGTTGTGCAAAGGATGCTCTTGAGTGGCAAATTCTGCATTGACCAGCAGTTTATTGCACTAGTTCTTTCTTACTCTACTTTTATCCGACCACCAAACAAGGCTTCTAGAGACGAGAACTGATTTTTCTCATTATTCCCTACGCTGGCCTGATTTTCTGGCGCTTACACCGACAAGCTGACAAATATATCTACACGCAAGAGGGAAGAGTTTCACTGCATTGATTGAAAGAGACAAAAAAACCCGAACTGCCAAACTGAAAGTTATTTTAAGGTAAGTGTGCGGATAACTCCGTTCCTAGCTCGCTCTTGCACGCTGCCGAGGTTCAAACCACAGAGCTGCATTCTTCTTTCTTTCGCACAGATGAATGAAAATAAGGGCTGTTTGAGCACCCTGCCCCACTGAGAACACATGGCTCATTCTGTCAGGCCCAACGGCAGGTTTTACTTCCTCATCTTGTGAAGCTGCTCAGCTTGTGAAGCTGCTCTCATGAAACGGGGAGTGTTTATACACTGAGAACTTGTGCGTAAAATAGAATAAAATCATGTGTGCGTTCCTCACTGACAAAATAAAAGCTTTATAAAAGACCGTAGAAAACTAAAGCTCTTCTAGGTTTTTAAACAGCAAAAAGCCTATTAATCTCATCACAAAAATCAAACCACTTTTTTGGGTAGGATTCTTTGTATGCCACTCCTCTTTACGTGCTCCGTAACCACTTTGCTTTTTCCTCTCATTTCAGTATCAACAAACATCTGCCTACACATTAATTCGGAAAAATATTAATTAAAACCTGGAAGGAACTGGAGCCTAGCACACCGATTTAAAATGTTGTCTCTGATAATATATTCGATATCAAGTCCTAGCACGAAACTATTCTGTTTAATCCAAATAGTTTCTTGTTAGGAAATAGCACACCTATGCCGTCAAATGATTTCCAGTACAAAAGATACACAGATAAAACAGTTGAACTGAAGAGCTCCAAAGACTCCTCGGCATCGGTAGGGAAGGCACTTTTCCGGTCACATAATTGTAGCACATTGGGATTCGGCACAGCTTTGGTATTTCAACACGTCCTTCAGCTCCTGTGCAAGTGATACCCACTGACTGCCCAGTCCTGCACTTCTCCGCTGGCAAAGAACGCAAAGAAAATCGCTCCAAATAGATTAATAGAAGCAGCAATATAGAAAACAGTCTGCCATTCTCCCACAGTATTCTGTCAAAAGGGGAAAAAAAAAAAAAAAAAAAAAACCGCAGTCAATTTGCAGCTCCACGCTCAAGAAAAAGTAATTTTCAAACTGAGGCTACATGCCTCGCCTATTTAAATGTAAATGCTATTCAGCATGATTTCATAGCTACATAAAAGCATTATAAACACAAAAGAGCAAATCATTCAGTTTAGTAATAGATGTGACACAGACAGCCCTACCAGAACTGCATTAGAATATCTGGACCAGTTTATCACCCGAGATGCACAACTTGCCTATCAAAATTCACATTTTTGTAACAAAATCCAAGGGGAAACCCCACCCTGCTGTTGGGCTGGGCGAGCCGAGGGCTGACGTGCTCTGCACCGTGCAGGAAGCTCCTCTTAATCACTGCTAGGGGGATATTCCAGGATCATAAGGTTTTTAGCCCACACAGCGTAGCTATCTTTACTCAGATTTCAAGAAGAATCCGTTAAACTCTGGTATTTAAGAAAAGCCTTAAGACATGGGTAGCAAAGAACTGTGGGGGTTTTCTGTTTTTAGGGGTTTTTTTCCTTTCCATTTTTTAATAAAGAGTAATATCTGCAGATGTCCTAAGACTTTTTTTTTTTTTTTTTTTTTTTTTCAGTTCCAGATGACTACTGTAACAAACCTGCAAATGATCTTACTACTAAACCGGAACAATACCAGAACAATGCATTGGTATGGGGGAAAAACCCCAACCCAACCAACCAACCAGAGTCTCCTACTCCTTAAGATGTCTGGAAAAACCAATTAGTTTGATTTCACGTATGAATGAATATTTTTGTATTATTTTTAAGGAAATCATTGGAGTGATCAGAACTCAAAAAAATTAACTGGATCAATAAACTTACTCCTCTCATCTCCCTTTCTGAAAAGGTTTTAGAATAATTAGTTTGGTTAATTCATTAAAAAAAACAAAACAAACCAAACAAAAAACCATCACACAACTCCTGGATCCCTCTTTCTATTCCAAACCACCCTCTGGCTAAACCACCTTGGAATTCAAATCTAACCCAGTTTAAGTTCTGTGTCTTGTGGAACTAAGCGTAGAATGTCCCAATCCTGTCATACACATCCAAAAGGATGCACTGTGACCCCACACGTCTGAATCCAGCTGCTCACCTCTCTGACAAATGCTGACCTTACAACTCCACACCTCACGGGAGAGACTGACTTTGGAAAAACAAGTAAGAGCTTGTCTTAATTTGCTAAAATAATCCCACAACTGTCTCACCGAGTTGGCATTTTATCTGAGTTTTAAAATAAACTCATTTTACTCCTAGAGAATATAAGGGGTGAGTCACTGAAATTTTAAAGTCCTACACAGGTCTTCTATTTTACCTTTATTTTCCTGATCAAAATCAGAAGAATAAAGGCTAGGAATGAAGTCATTCACAGGACCGGAACAGTACGACTTACATCTATAACCCAGATTTCATTTAATGACTGCAGACTTGAAAATACAGAATTTCCATTCAATGGAGATAAAAATATAACAACTGAAAAAGTAGTAAGCAGACTTACATTATGAGTGAGGTTCTTGGCAATAACTGGCCCCACCATTCCTGGGATGGTGGCAAAAGAATTGGTGATCCCCAGGAGAATTCCAGCATACCTGCAAGAGAAATCGTTAATGCTGCTAATTAACTTATTCTGCTTATCAGCCATGGAGAGAATTGTGCCTAACCTGATCACATAGGCCTCACCTTGATCGCACGGACAGATTAAAACACAAATATTCCAGTGGGAATGGCCTGCTTTTATTCTAGTAAGAACTTGCTGAGTGCTCGGTACACGTCTCTGTTTTCCAGAGGTGAGTTATGGAATTTTGCTTCAATTACTCACGGCCTCGCTCAGGATCCATAATCCAAACCCACATCCCCTTCACTAAGCCACAACCCAACTGTCTGGAACGGATTCACTAAGCCACAACCCAACTGTCTGGAACAGATCCAGGGGAGGTTCAGATTAGATATCAGGAGAAATTTTTTACACTGAAAGGGTTATCAAGCATTGGAAGAGGCTGCCCAGCGCATCACCATCCCTGAAGGTATTTAGAAGCCAGGTAGACACAGTGCTTAGAGATATGGTTTAGGGTGATGGTTTTGTGAGTGTTGGGTTGATGGTGGGACTCGATCTGGAGGGTTCCTTCCAACCTGGCAATTCTGTGATTCTAAGTTAGAAAATAAATATTGTGTGCCTGGAACGGGAAGGACGAAGAGGAGTATGAGAGAGTGCTGTTTGCCAACAGCAAGAGCTGGCTGAGGGATCGCTGCCGAGCAAGTGTCTGCTGAGAAGGCACATCCCCAGATGGGGATCCCTGCATCCCCATCACCTACACCGCAGAGCCCATGCTCCAACAGGGAACAACACCAGTCCTTCCTTTGCCTTTCCGTGGGTCAGGGGCAATGGGAAATGGCTCTGACTTTGCCAGTCTTGCTGATGGCCATTCCTGCAGCTCCCTGGCCCACCAACATGTTGCTCTATCACACACACGTGCATACGCACCAGCGGCCCTAAGAACTCAACGGGAAAGGCTGGCAACTTGCTTAATATCTGAGCCCCAGCATCTCATCTCTAGGCAATCAGAGATCTCTCACAGGAGTGTTGCAACCCTGAAAGATCACGTTTGAAACCGCACCACAAGTGCAGACTTGTGAGAGAGACTGAGGAGAACTAAGAGCTGGACCTTCTACAGCAGAGCTCCACCTGCCAGCCACCAGAGCACGGATGCCTGGGGTCCAGATCTTCAGGGGGATTTGCTGGCTGAAGAATCATACAAAATACTAATAGCTGCAGTTTTCCACAGGGGAAAGGAGCTGTCTCCCCCAGGGATCACCTCAGGCTGTTTAGCAGAGTGAAATTATGTCCTCGCTGATTTTAACATAACAGAATTCCATCTCTAGAGACAGATGCACAGCTTTGATGTGTTATGTACCGAAACAGGAGAATTCAGCCACACAGCATTGTTACAAAAGGCTGGGATACATTTATCCAATCCAAGGATATTAGAGAAACGTGGCTTTTCCTGAGAAAGAGAACCAACCATCTAGACCACTAGTTGATTTTAGACTAAACATTAGGAAAGAATTTTTCACCAAAAGAGTGGTCGGGCATTGGAACAGGCTGCCCAGGGAGGTGGTGGAGTCCCCATCCCTGGCTGTGTTTAAGGGCCGTTTAGATGCAGTGCTGAGGGACATGGTGTAGGGGAGGACTTTGTAGAGTAGGGGAGATGGTTGGACTCGATGATCCCAAGGGTCTCTTCCAACCTAGACAATTCTATGATTCTATGATTTTTTTTCTTGAAAGTCAATGTTAGGTATCAGTTTAAAGCACGGCAATGTATTTTAGACTGAGCTCCAATGCCTTAAACAATCTTTATTTTTTGTAAATGTAGCATGTAGTCACCTTATCTCAGAAAGCATTTAAGAATTAATAGGCCTTTATGAAGCAGAACGTGAAAGTGTAAAAGCTTCCCTTAGGCAGATAAGCACATGTAGCAAAGCTCCATTTAAAGCCTTTAAGTAGAAGCAAATGCATTTTGTCCTCAACACCTTTAAGCACTACGGCACTGCTAACACACCCTCTCCAAATGACACACAGCTTAACAGCTCCCCTGGCCACCCAAGATCTCTGGGCACCGGTTGCTGGCTAAATGCCTCTGGCTATGCCCGGCGTTCCTGGCACAGGTCCCATCCCTGATAAGGCTGGCTGCTGCCTGCAGATAACTCTGCGGAGCCTCCCGCCTGGAACCCGAAGCAAAAGGTGCCGTGTCGAGGTGCAGAGTAAAGCTGGTGGTCCCATTCTGATGGCATGGTGGGCATAACCAAATACACATCGACTTCCAGAGCAGTAAAAACCTCAAGGGAGGTCATTCTCCCCCTCTGCTCTGCACTGGGGAGGCCACAACTGAATACTGCGTCCAGTTCTGGGCTCCCCAGTTCAAGAGGGACAGGGAACTGCTGGAAAGAGTCCAGTGTAGGGCTACAAAGATGATTCAAGGACTGGAGCATCTCCCTTATGAGGAGAGACTGAGAGAGCTGGGACTCTTTAGTCTGGAGAAGAGAAGGCTGAGGGGAGACCTTATCAATGCCTACAGGTATCTCAAGGGCGGGCTGAGGGAAGAGGGAGCCAGACTCTTTTCAGTGGTTCCCAGTGAGAGGACAAGGGGCAACGGGCACAAGTTGGAACATAAAGGATTCCACTTGAATATGAGGAAGAACTTTTTCACGGTGAGGGTGACAGAGCCCTGGAACAGGCTGCCCAGGGAGGTCGTGGAGTCCCCTTCTTTGGAGATTTTCAAGACCCGCCTGGATGCTCCTGAGTAACATGCTCTGACAAGCTCTGGGTGGTCCTTCTTTAGCAGGGGAGTTGGACTAGATGATCTCTATGGTCCCTTCCAACTCTAAAAATTCAGTGAAATTCAGTGAAAAATCAAGAGTAAAACCACCCCAAACAGATATGTGATGTGTTTAGTGTATAACAGGGCTGCAGGAATATTATAAGGGCTCAGGGGAACAGCAATACCAGGAATTGTAATCATGGCAACACACTGATGTAGATTTAAAGAGCGAGAATAGAACACATTTTCCCCACAAGAACAATCTTGTCTCCCTCCCGTCCCCAGCCCCTCCCACTCAGTGCACTGATGGCATCATAAATACGTTAGAAACATCTCCTGCCACCCCAGCAACACAAAAAAAAGGGCCATTAAGACGTCACGTGCTCTGAGCAGAGCTCCAGCAATACTCACGAGGGTGCGATGTCCAGGTGGTTGATGCTGTAGCCAGAGGTGCAGAACCCTCCCAGGGTTGTTGATATGGTCACGAAGGCAACAGCCAGGGCGTAGTTGCAGCCTATGAATCCTGCAGCCACCAAGAACACGGCGGGTCCGATCATTCCTGCAAGACAGAAATCTTAGAATCAATGGACTTTTAACAGGCAAGGTGTTAACAGCCTCTTCTTACATATTTTCTGCACAGCTTTCCCCCCCACCTACTGCACAGAAACCAGTACTGCATCACCTCCACTAACTGGGCCGGCCAGGAACAGCCCCAACCTGCTGCTGCTGCCTCAGGAACAGGAGCCAGGCCACATAAATCCCACCAGCTGCAAAGACCAAACTTCAGCTAGGAAAAAAAACTAACAGAAATCAGCAGATTCCGAAAGGGATCTCACAAATTAATTGCATTTATTGTTATAAAAATAAATAGGCGTGCTGACACCAGTAGGCAAACAGTGCACTGCAAAGACGTTATCCCCATTTAGCCTGTGCAGGAAACTGGATCACCAAAATGGTGTAGGCTTAAAATAAAATTTAAAAAAAAAAATAAAAAAAATTAAAGAGTTTATTCTAAGAGCTGCTTTAGAGAAAGCAACTGAATCAGCAGAATTGAGAAGGCAGCCAGGATGGGCATACACCAAGCAGACTGCAACCTGAAATCTGTGATTTCAGATCATCACTCTTCCCAATTTGTGAAGATCATGTAGGATGCTATTTGGCCCTCCCTCCTGGTAGCAGCTTTGCAGTTTTGCAAGTGTATTCTTCATTCTTCTTCAGCTACTTAAGTCTTCAATAAGCAAAACACTGAAATACCACGGGGCAGGGAACAGGCTGACACAGACCTTTGTCCCGTCTCACTCTGAGAAAGCCATTCATAAGGCATCTTCCTATCAATTATCACCACTTTATCACCACCACAATTATCACCAATTATCACCTGAGCACTTTGCCTGTGACAATAATGTCTTTTGACCTAAACAAAGCTTTTGGCAACCTCTTATCGTTCTCTTATCCAAGAGGCCTAGTTGTTTTTGGTTTTGTTTTTATGGAAAAAGACAGGATTTACTCTTGACAACTTGATGTACAAATAAAGCTGCTCCTCTTTTTTTTTGGTTTTTTTTTTTTTTTAATTGAAAAAGACAGGATTTACTCTTGACAACCTGATGTACAAATAAAGCTGTACATCCAGCCATGCACAGCCCTGCCTGACCTCACGGCAGAATGTCCCACTACTGTCCCAAACCCTGCCTTTTCCCCAGCCTGAGGTGATGACCTGTTCCAGAGATGATACTTGCACCTACCTATGAGGGTGAAGCATTTGCGAACACAAACAGTGGAGAAGTTCTGCTTTTCCCGCAAATGATCAGCAATATGGCCCGACAGAATGATGCATAACCAGCAGCCAAAATAAGGTAGGGCGGATAAAAAACCATTCTGTCAAGGAGACAAAAGACAAAAGACAGTTAAAACACTGAAATGACAATGCAATCTGCTGAAAAATCACTTGTACTGAAGCATTAACAGAGGCTGAAGCAGAGGGGTCAAAGCCACCCATTCACATGGCTCTGGCTGGTACTACCATAGCAGAGAAACTTGGGGACAGAAAAAGCAAAGCATTTTAAAGATACCAATGTGTAAACTCTCCGCTGCATGACTTAATCCATCACTACCAGTGCAGCCAGACAAAAACCTCCGAGGTTTAAATCAGCAGCTGGGCTCAGGAAAAAGAAAACTATACATGAAGGCATCTTGCGGACATTACCCTGACAATGCAAGTTTCCAGGAGCACCGATTCCAATTAGGACAGGCTATCCTGTCCTAGTGGGAGCTGTAAATATTATTCTGAATTTGGAAAGCTACATGGAATCTCAGCAGTTTGTACTACTCCAACTCTTCAGCATTACATTATCCCCCACCTGCCTGCTGGAATCACTGATGCTGGCTGTCACCAGCGAGAGGGCACAGAACTGGGACTGTCATCCAGGCTGGATATCCTGTGAGCCCGAAGCAAAGCTGCTATTCAGGCCCTGACACTACTTGCACTGACATCCCCTGTTAACTCCCATGGCTTTAAACAAGAGCTGTTTAGAGATTTCTGCCCGATTCTGCCTGGTTTTCTGATATGGGGAAACAGAAGGTACTACTACGCTGCGTAAGTTCACAGCCTTTCCATACAATTATGGATAACCACTGACAACAGAGCTATAATTTGACCTAACCTGTGATTAAAAAGACATATTTGGATAGCTATTGGACAGAAATATTCCAGTGTTTCTACACAATTATATAATATTTATTTGTCAAAGACACAGAGAAAACTTCCCTAGGAAATTTAATTTGAAACATGACCAGAAACACATGCCCCCATGAAATCCCCTCTGCCAGCACTCAGACATGCTGCCTGCTGGGTTTCAATGCTCAGCTTTTGAAAGCAGTAAGTAGAATTTTGAGAAATAGAAGATAGCCTCAATAATAAAAAACCCACAACTTTTGCAGCAATATTGAAAGACACAGCATTATTTTTAACCAATCCTTTTATTACAGGATGGAAAGCTGCGGACTATACACTAGCAACTGTATAATGTTTTAAACAGTAATGCAATTTCCATCTAAGTGTGTGGGAACAAAGTTAGACCAACACTATTATGCAAGGGTTTCTTGGTTTGTTTGGATTTTGGTTTTTCTGCTTTTTTTTTTTTTTAAACAACTGTCAGTACTCTAAATCACTCCAAAAGGAAGAAACATAACATAAGCCACTTTCTTGTGGCTTCTTAAATAAGAATGGTCCACCCCCCCAGCCCCATAACTTTCCCCTAATAAATAAATTCATTTAAAAAAAATTCCTGGAAAAGCACTATTCCTAGACCTTAAGTCTACAGTTTCCTCTCAACCTATTTACCTTACTTTAAAAAAAAAAAAAAAAAAAAAAAAAAAA